TTTAGAGTAGAACCAATCAACAGAAGTCCTCACGCATGTTTATGGTTGTCTATATTCCTCCCTCAATCATACTCTTTCTGTGTTGTGTGTCACAGTGGTAGTAAGGGGGATTGTTCTGGTTCTGTCATTTTTGCTATCCCTGTTTGTATCTTATTCTGCAGATATTATTGCTTTTCGGATGGTTCCAGTCAGTTTCTCTGTTGGGGGAGTTAATTTACATTATATAGACATCCTTTCGATACTGGATGTCAGGTCCCCTAATCGACAGATAGATCAAAGCTGACAACTGTCATGCTCATGAGTCGGAGTGGTTCTAGATTTTCCCCTGTCTTTTGAACTGAAGGTGAAGACAGTATGATCCTCATTCTACCCCCATGTGGATGTCAGTTCCCAGTGGCATGGGTTTTGTATGTAGTTCACTTACCGAGTACGGTCCGTCGAATCTTATCCACTCTACACATAGGGACAACATCCAATGTTTTACCCACTTGTATACTTTGTAGGATTGAGTTTCTTATATATTTCATGGTTAGGATCACTATCGTGCTACAGTTCTCTCCCACTTGGATTTGCTCTTCTCTTTTTATCTACTACATATTTCATGGTTGGGCAAAGAGTATAGCTGGCTTAGAAGTGGTGCAGTTCCCCTGAACAGATCTGATTCTTTCATTTCCACGGGTATCCTTCGGATGCTTTCAAGCAGTACTTCTGTCATTCCCTCGCACTGGTCTCGCCACCTATTCAATGTGGGATTCTTGCTAATCTTGTGAGCAGAGGGAAGTTATAATTTTCCTATACTGAAAATGTATCTCCAGTAGGTATTCCCTCCACTTAAACTTTCCACCTTTCCTCCCCACTTTCCTCCAGTGCATACTTCTTCTGCCAAACCTTGAAGTGATAGTTTGGTAGAGGCGTATAGAGGAAGTCACATACGTCACGCTCCTATTGGTGGAGAAGTGACACATAATGGTTTATACGAGAGACATGTTGGAATCATTCAAATTCCATTGGGGGGGGGGAGCAGAAGGCTTGTAGCATGCGTAAAGAAAAAGTTCGCATATAGAGGGTAGCACTGGACAAGAATAGCTAATCTTGTGAGCGGAGGGAAGTACCTATCGGAAATACATTTTTAGTGTAGGAAAATTATAACTTTAGTACTTTTATAAATATTCTTGAAATTATAACTAATATATTTGATTTTAAGATTTATATATGAGTTGTTTGTGGCACAATCAACATATTGGCCAAAAATCTTTATCTATATGTTTTAATTTGCTTTACCAGTCTTTAGTCATTGGTTACTTGAACATTTAGTGCATTTTGAGTTTTATTCTTCAAGCATTATTATTTGGTTGTGTTACTAACTAGTATCTTTAAAAATTTATTTACAGACAAACATAGCATCCCTAAATATATTTGAATTAATTTTGAGCTGTATCCAGCAGGCTGTGGCCATGTTAAAATATGATCTAAAGGACAGGAATGGAACAAAATGCATCCACACACTAGTCTCCTTACTACGCAGAGAAAATGTAGAGGGTATAAGAATTTGTTGTTTATATTTTTATAAATATGTTTTATAATAATGCATGTTTTATAATTTAAGAAATTGATGTAATATGGTGATATTTTTCTTTGTATTTAAAGAATTTGTTTAAGTGGAAGAATTGTTATATATATAAGTTAAAAAATTCCATTTTTGTAACTTGCAGTTTTGTGTGTAAATTTTTATTAACACTGTAAGTATGTTTTTGTTGTTGTTTTTTTTTGAATAGAATAAATCATTTCTAGTCCACCAGATGTTATATAATGAATTATAAGGCTAGTTCCTGGGACTGATTTGTTTAGCTCCATTTAAATTCTTTATCTTCCCTGAATACAAAAACATTCAAGCTGTATAGCTATAATTAGAAATCAGTGAAACTACATCTTCAGTATATTTTTTAGGTGTCACATAAGTTTGAGTAACATTAGTTAAATGAAAAAACTGTTGTGTATATGGTGTACACAGGTTTACCACAGAGCAAGAACAGTCTTCTAACTGGAAGTCTGATAGATGTCAAATTACAGATCTGTTACTCTTTGAACTCTATGTTCATCTTAAAGAAAGAGTCAAGACATAAAATCTACACACACACACACACATGATAATCACATTTACAAACACAAGCAAGGACAAATGTTTATTGTGCATGTATTGCACAGGCATGAGAGAGTACTGAAGAGTAACCTTAGTAAGCTTTTTTCACCAGTTCCCCCCTCCACTGTAAGTTAAAATTATTATAATCTGAAATTGAAATAAATTCACAGTTAAAAATATAAAACAAAAATTCTCATACTCTGAGTTAAAATGAAATACTTATAAAAATTTCAATTCAACTTAAGTCAATTTATATTCAAAATTAAACTCTCAATATTGAACTAAATTATCACCAAAAATCTAAACCTTACTAAAAGCTATCTAGCAGAAGAAAACCTGCCTTTAAGTATTACAAAACACAATATAAGTTACTGAATTCAGGTCCTGGGTAGAGCTAAAATCAGAAAGAGATGTGTTTAATTGAGCAGCTGTCTGTGTCCAAACTGAACCAAAAAACTACAAACATTTCAAAACATGTACATATAAACTAGACAGGTAGCAAGCACATGATGCCATTCTGTACCATGTATGTAAATTGTTCTGATGTTATATGTTCATTTGTTACAGCAGTCATGTCTTTGTCATTTTTTTTAAAGTAAATGATGCAAGATATGGTGGTGTCAGTCATATAATAATATCTCCATTTTTATGAGACAGTATTCATAACTGTGTATATTTTGCTTTCCAAAATCAGGTGTTTATGAAAAAAAGATTCTGAACTATTCTACCTTCATTTAAGTTATTTGTGTTTTCACTTAAATCAAAAGTTAATTTTGGCAAAATATTCTTTTCCAGTGTTTATACATTCTATTTTTCAACTCAATTTGAATAGAAAAATTATGTTAAATGCAAGATTTCATAATAGTGATTTAAAAAATCAACAAAAGACTCAGTCATCTTTTAATATTGTAAATGTTGAGAGATCCCGGTAAGTATTTCAAGGATACATAATTATAATTCAGCATTGCTGTAAATTTTCAGAGAATGTTATTAAAAGGATAAACATTCTCTTTTTATGTGCATATGTGCTTTTTCTTTATTCACTTTACTCACAGTTCTATTTGACTGTCCTATTGAGATAATGTATATATATTACTAGCCTAGGTAAATATCCTTTAATGCAGTTAGTGGAACAACATGCAAAACATGGATGCACCTTTACAATACTTTTATTATTTACCTCATTATATCTCTGCAGAATTCTCAACTTCAGCAAAGTTCTACAGAATTCTTCTTGAACGACTTCAGCTTTTACTGACCCAGAGAGATGAAGTAGTTGATAAACCTCAGTGCTGGCTTATTGCAGTAGCAACTTCACCTCAGATGCTTCAAGAAGGAGGCACTTTTAGGTAAGCACACTTTTGTCTATAGTACAACAAACTATAAAAATGTGTGAACTAAATGTAATTGGAGAGCTATAATTTCTTCCTTTTTTTCCAATGGAAAACTATAAAACTGTGTATTTGAATTATAGATGTTGAAAAACAGAAGAAATTTTTAATTATTGCTACGTTACTTATTTATTTTTCAATGGGATGAAATATTTAAAATGACATTTATGTATTGTTTTTTCTGGCCACATACAATGAACATGTATGTGATAAATGTATTTTATTTTATATGAGCATGCAAGTTTCACTTTACTTACTAAGTCATTACTTCTTTAAACCAATAAATTTTGCATATCTTATATGTATTAAACATGTATGAAAGCTGATGTTTTAATTATGTACATATAAACAGAAGACAGTTCAGAGTCAGCATATATATGTGTGCAAGTGTACAAGCATTTATAACCAATGTAAAAATTAAATTAACTAAAATTAAACTAACTTTTTACCTATATTCCAAAAATTTTCATATTTATTTTAAATTTCATAGAAAAGGCTAAATTATGTTTACTCCATAAACAAAAGGATAGTGGAGTGCTATATGACTGTTGCATGGAACAGACATAATTTTAGGTTCTTGTGATTTACCTTTCTGATTGATCAGTTACAAAGAGAAAGTGAATTGTGAAAGCAAAATTAGCATTTTCAGAAAGATACATTTCTGATTTGAAGCAGTCAGAACTTATTGTTTAAATTTTGCTTGTTTTAAACTTATATTAAATTATTTTGAAGATAATCATAGCCATTTTACTTCATCTTTATTTGCAGTTTATTCATGTTTCAACTTAAATGTGTCAACCAATTTTATGTTTCTCCAACAAATTGTGTTTATTTTAGCTTCAGCTTTATACAGTCTCTCTCATTACACTGTACAAATCATCACATATGTTCTTCTAATATTTGTATTCTGTAACCTCTAGTTGTTATCTATACCTTTGAATTGCCACATTAAACTATTTGGTAATTATAAAGAAGGTAAACAAGTGCAGTAATTTAAAAAAACTGAAACATATGCCTGTAGTTTATGATTTCCAACTTACAAGCTGTGTTGAAAACAACCAGAAAAGTAAGCTTTTAAGTGATCCTTCAACTTGTCTTCTAAAGTTGTCCTCAGGGAAATATGATGCCGTTTCATCTATTCTGACATCCATAAAGAAACAGTATTTTGTGAGTTTTTTACTGAAGCATAAGTGAAAACATTTGCAGGTATTTAACTGTCTGTCAGTAGTTTATTAGGAAGGTCAGGGCAGATCAGGTGTTTTGCCTGACCATCTTTATAGGTCTGTTGGGAAAAATTACTCTTGTGTCAGGTAAATAACAATAATAGATAAACAGGAACAAAGAAGAAAAAAAAAAACATACAAAAGTTGTTTGAAGTTGCTCTTGAAATTGTTTGCACTCTAACATACCAAATACTTAACAGAATGCTAAAGATATTGCTGACAATGTCATGGTATTTGATCCATGTAGAAAATTCCTATCCTAAAAAGAGCTTTTTTTTATTATGGTCAATTAAAGGAAGCTGAGCAGGATTAGGAATTCCAGAAGCACAAGTTCAGAAACATACATTGCTCA